ACGGAGGTTCATGTGCCCCCTACGCTGCTCTATATTGCAAGAAGAGCATTTGGAGGGTGCACGCAGCTCAATCGATTTGAGCGAACGGGCCAAAGCGTGACGTGGAGAGGGGCATATGCTCGTGCAAATGCTTTTCATCGATGTGATCACTTAGATATGCCGAAGTGGGTTCGGTGGTTGCCACGCAGCCAAGGTGATGATGATCAGTGGGCAGATGACTCCTTTGCTGCCCTCAATTAAAGGCATTGAAGGCACACTCTAGTGGCCAAGTCCCGTAGAGTGTACAAACATTTCCAAATGTGTCCACTGTCCATCAAGCAACTACCCAGAAAAGTCCAAGCAAGAGCGCCTAACACGTGGACTGGAATAGCAATAGGACCGCGCGATACGCATGACTGCAAATGCAGCGTCACTAGTGCCTGCTAGTGCTTGCCAGAGTGTTGACTTGCACCCGTGTGCTGGTCCTAGGAAATCTAGACTAATGTGCAGCGCTGCTTGCATTGTGTGACAGTCTTCTTGACCTGAGTAGTTAGACAGTCCCAGACTTGTAGTGGATCTGGATGAGTACAGTGTACAGAACTAGGAAAACGGCGTTTCACTTCTTCTCACCCTATCACTCATTTTCGGATAGTTAGTGGGGCTTTGCATGGATTGGTTGACCGATCTGGCCACGGTTGAAGGATGCAGTCAGAAGCTATCAGAGGATCAAGCGAGGTTTTTGCAGCATGCGGCATCTAGATGACCCTCCTTGAAGCACGTCAGGCATAGCTTGCTCTGCTGAGCTGTTGGTGAGCTGTGGATGCGTGGCGTGCTTCGTGTGCGACCTCCCCCTTTGGGGGGGAGGAATGGGAGGGGCTTACCTTTTGATGCCCCCGTTTTGAACTCTGGTGGTCACCTCCCACTGCACGTCTTTCCCGGTTTTGTGTGAATTCCGGGTTTGATGGCGGTGGTTTTCCCTTACGCTGTCTACCAGGTTCCGCCCCTTTTGCTGCCAGCCTTCGAGCATGCTACCATATGCAATGTGTCCACCTTTGTACCCCATGGACCATATCAACGCATTCGAATGCATTCTGGACGGTGCACTTGTCTTCGAACTTTGGCTCTACCTTGCCATGTTGCGGTGCTCGGTTTCTTACCTACTTTCATTGTGCCTTTGGCGGCACTGTGATGCCTGCTGCCTTGTGAACATTCCCTGACTCTACACTCCGGGTGCACCTGTCCATGCATCCTCTTTGCATTCGTTGATGGACAAGAACTTCTGAGTGCAATGGTAAATTCATCGCCCCAGTTTCACCCATCCTCGTGCCTTCATGGCCTTATGAGTTACTTTAAAGGTTGCCCTGGCGGTTTTTGTTGGGTTTGTTGGTTGTTTGGTTTGGGTTGTTGTTTTCTGTTTCTGTTTGACTTGCAACTTTGCTTGTAACTCGCTCTTAACTCGACTAAGGTGACTTGTGCAAAACCTGCACACACAGCGCCTCCACTCGTGCAAAAAAAAGTTGGGAGCACGGAGAGGATTCCCTGTTCGAAGGTGGCCCTAGCCCAACTAGTGAGCCACGGGGTTCGCTCTTGTCCGGCTGGGGTGGTTGCCCATGATGGGATTGTCGTGGCCATCTGATAGTGCCGCCAGGGCCGCGGTCAGCTGTGCTCATAGCCGGGCAAGGCCAAAAATGCTTACACACGTAGAGGCCATAGAGTGACCACGCAATACACAAGTCAAGGGCAGTTCTCATTGGGACTCCAACAAAAGGAGTAAACATAGTCCCATTGATGGCAGCCTCGCTCGGATTGATCGGTGCCTTGGCTCGAGAGACTAATGCGAGGCGACATGCTTGGAGACTCCTTGCCAGCGCCGTTGTGACGGTTGCGTATCGACACGACCAAACCTGCGTTGTATTCTAGGTGAGCTTCAGTGAATAACAACATGCCGATTCCGGAACTAGAGTGAGACCCTGGCCGTGCACACCCCATGAGGTCAGTCCATTGGTGCTGCTGATGAGCCAACTGCAGTAGGTCTTGGACTTCAAAGAGTGTGACTGGTACACAATCATTGTCGATGAGTGCAAAGTGTTGAGCAGGGTAGAGAAAGCGAGCAGCTTCAAGAACAAAAACCCCGGCCCAATAGTATGGAATCCTATGAAGGCCTGCATCAGCATCAGCTCGGACCCAAAGGACTTCAGTTATTTCCTCTTGCGGACCAACTAAGCTTCGGCGAGAGGCCCACCACGCTGCAAAGGCAGGCCAATAGGGGACATCCTCTGGCAATCGATTGTCTACGATTAGATATATCATGTGACTACGTACTATGAGCTCTCGATGCAGCATGAGCGTGTGTATAATGGCAGTCATATCAGGTAGGTCCCCTTCTGCGTCCTTCTGCTGTGTGGCATATCCACGATCCAGCTTGGGCGGCTGTGCTCTGACATCTGACAACACTAGGGCTGGTCTGGCAGAGTCGAGGCCAAGGGGACTACTAAGACGATCAGGCATTTTCAAAGCTGCATCTGCATCTGCTTGGACCTGCGAGACACTGACTGCGGGACTCTGGGCAAAAAGAGCTTGACCAGCCTCTGAAAGCCAGTCTGTTGCAGCCTGTGTGTAGGCTATCGGCACCTGACTTCGATCATCAATACCATCGTTGAGGTCCAACGGATTCGATTCCACCTCCTCAGGGTCTTGCGACATAGGGCTCGAAAAGGTAAGTGCAGTTTCCACCAACTAAGGTTGGCAGTTGCACCGGCAGGCACGAGCGAAGAGGCAGGTGGCTTGGGTGACGGCAGCTAAGGCTGACCCCACTCCTGCTTGCATGGTTCCAAAACCAGCTGTGAGCCAAACATTGCGGTAGAATGCAACTGCAAGGAAACAGCTAAGCTCTCAAAACGCTATGGAGAGTTCTCCAGGAATAGAACCGTAAGAAGGCCAGAAAAGAAACAGGTGTGCCTGCTCCACAGTTTGTCACCTGGACTCTGACTCCTATGCTTACTATTCATGGTCATCTGCCTGAGGGTGCATTAATGAAAGCAACCAGGCCACGTAAACAAGGCCACACAACTGAGAATGCAAGTCAGTGAGGGGGGTGAGAAGGGCACCCTGCACATCATGCGGCATTTCATCAACAGTTTGCTCAATGTCTTGCACTAATGCTTGCAGACCTTGTACCCTGGCGTGAAGTGCTGTTTCGATCTGATGATGTGTGCGCTCTACTTGGCGTTGGGGAGGCGCCTGCGTCGTTAACTGCGGATCCACCCGGAGTACCTGCTGTTGTTGTCTGTCCTTAAATGTCCAAAATCCTGCGCGCCGCGGTAGCGAGCCTTGGAAAGGGCGTGTTTGTAAGAAGGCTTCAAGAGGGTCCATGGGGGTTACAAATTCCCTGGCTGGCACAGCATCTGACAGGACACTGAGAAGGTGACCCTCATGATGTTGTATGTGCAGGATCATTCTGCGAACCAGAGTTCTCTTTGCACCATAAAGGCTTTGCAACTTGGCATGGTAAAATCTCTTCACGAAAACATGATGCACCTTCCGGGGTGCATCCGAGTGCATTGGTATGGTCCATAAGGTGGGCGACTGCCCTGCCAGCCGACCAAGTGTACAGCAAAAACCACCCTGAGTGTTTCACATGGGCACTGCACGACTTACTGAATGACTGCTAGTGTATACTTGCCTTGCTGCCCGGACAAGATATTCACTTGACTGTCCGCCACTTCGACGTTGTGTGCTACCCTCTGGCCAAGCTGTTTCGGGGTGCACCACGGCGGGGTGGCATCACCTCCCTCCCTCCTGTGGAGGGAGGTAGCTGGGGTCTTCGAATGCTCCTGCCCCTTCGATGTGCCTTTGCTGTTAGCCACCTCAATCTTATAGACAATCAAACACACTGAACACACTGAACAACAATGAAGGCCGCACTGTTAGCAATGAATTGCCCTCTCGCTTGGCGCGTTAGAGCTGCTCTGTCACCAGTGGTTTTCCAGAGCCAAAAATCATGAGCAGGTGAGGACATATGCACATTTCAAATGTATACCCATTGTCTCAAGTGCAGTTAGTCACAGTTTGTCCGATCAGATTGTTCGTGCCTCTTCAAGTGCCATGCAATATTTTGAGCACGGAGAGCACATATTCTTAGTGCTCGGTGTGATGGCCTGCTTAAACAGGCCTATTGACCAAGTGTCATAGCGTTGCCAGCAATCATTTCGACCGCATTTCGAATAGCCCATCTTGTGGCCTTTTGCAGGAATTCATTACCCAATTTCTGTTTCACCTTTGCATGTACATCCAAGAGTCTCCATCATTGTGCTTTTCTTTGTCGGTTTTGTTTGGTTTTGGGGTGTTGTTTGTTTTTGTGTTTTTTTTGCTCGTTGTTTTGGCCCCCCTTCATGATGGAGACTCTACAAGAATTGCACAAGCTGACCTGTGCACTTCCTGCATAGATGGCGGCTCGACTCGTGCAAAAAAAAGAAGTACGCATCACCGCCATGTCGACTTCTCCCCATAACAATACGATCCACTCTTAGCAGCACGCCAGGTCTATGGGTCCATCTACAAGGCACCAGTAACAAACCGCAGACAAGCGCCCCTCAATTACCTAGGGGTGCCCTTCTTTCTCTTCCAGACGCCCCTTCCATCAAAAGAAACTGAGAGCCTGTCATATCGGCCCCGACTTCTGCCGTGCAGCGCTTCCACTGCACTCTCGCATTTAGCCCCGATGATCATATTGATGTCTTATTATGGGGGCTGGCTTTCGTCCCCTCCCTTCTCAGGTCGAATTGTTGAAAGCCCACAACAACTTTTGACCTACCACAACATGAATTTTCAAGAGGTCCGTTGTATCATTTTCTGATTGTGTGTCAAAGTGCCGCAAGAAGCTGCATGAAGGTATGCTTGAAACATCAGGCTCAATGTGCAGGAGTTGTACCACTCATTTTGTCATGACTGAGTTGGACATGTCACATATTCAATTTGACCAGTGCTGAAAACACATGCAATGATTCAAGGAGAGCGTCTATGGGGGAACCATCATATACAGTTCCATTGCCAGCGATGGAGCATGTGGCATTGCTGCTGTGCATTTCAGTCCTGCAAGTTCTGACGGCTGCAAAAGTTATTGTGGCGCTTGGCCGGTAGCTTGAATTGACAGCTATTGCTCAAATTGACATTCCTGAAACAAAATCATTCCGCATGCAATTCGCGGCATAAAACGAAAGAGGTTTGTTTGAATGCATGTACAATTGTGGTTAAGGTACGCCCCTCGAGCATTGAAAAAAAAACAACGACTTGCACAAGTGCTTGGCAATGGATAGCCGGCTGGTTGAGGAACAGCGGGAGCAACCAAAAAGTCATCCAAAAATTTCATGAAATGCAGTGCCGCATGCTGGTCAAGACTTTGCAAGTGACATGGCAAACATAGCACACACACACATGCATAATTAAACAGGGTCAGACAAAGTGCTCGGTTGAACTTTTGTTCAGACGAAATTTTTGCAATGGGATTTCACATGTCCTGAGCGGATGGTGATTGAGGTGATAATGGCTATGGCTTGTGCACGTTTCGTGTTTGCACAGACACATCTGGTGGCCGGGGAGCAACCTCCAGTACCAACTCTGGATATTGCTCTTATCGTGGTCGACGCTATTGCTCTTATCCTGACACAATTTGAGGGGCTCATTACACCTCGATGCCTTGACCTCTGGTACATTCTTCTTCAGGGCTTAATGATCAGCCCATTTTTTTTCGTGCTTCCTCGAGATGTGATAACGCTATCGAATTGGACATTTGTTTTGAGAGTGATGCTGGCCTTGTCGGCCAGACATGTATTTCTTGCGGTTTTGGGAAACGCAACAGCGTCAATTCTGGTGATGCGCTTAATCGGTTTCGACTCCAGGAGTGCTCTTTTCACAGGTGAAATTACGAAGCTGACTTTTCTACTGCTATTTGTATTCTCCATCCGCCAGCTCATTTTCCGAGATGCCAAAGCGACAGTGGAATTGAAAAGTAGAAGCATTGAACTTGAAGCTGTTTCATGCCTGCTACGTGGTTTTTGTGATGCTGTCGTGGAAGTTGACGAACAGCTCCGAATTGTTGAGAATTCACAACAGCTTTTGACAATGCTCCTCAGATCGAGCCACAGCACGGACTTGGCAGGGCGGAACTTCCTGAGCCTCTTTTGCTCAGATGACAAACCCAAGGTGAGCGACTGCCTTACCAGTGTCAGCACCAGTCACACGCATGCGCTCAATGCACGTATTTTGGATGGTGATGGGAACAGCGTGAAGGTAGAGCTCTTGCACATACGATTCCTAACTGCAGAAGACTGCGTTCACAGAAACTCAGCATCAGCTAAAACCTTTGGTTTTGTGTTTCATGACATTCGGACTACAGAGTCTGCCCCATATGGTGACATGAACAAGCAGTGTTTGCAGGGTGGCAGAACTCCAAGGTATGTACACGCACGTGTGAATGGTTTTTTGCACATCATAATGTTCTCGTGTTGCTAGACACCAGTCTTGAAGGAAGCGATCTCAAACGAATTCCCTTCCGGAACAACCCACACCACCTGCAGTTTTGTTCAATTCACAGTCCAACTTGTTTTATTTCCGACCACAGAGCTGGGTCATTCTATCCTTGACTTTGTTCCTTTGAAGAGGCTTGGAATCCAGAGATCTGGGCATTTTGGATTGGGTGTTGCAGTTGCAGCTAGCCCCAGGTGATTGGGAACTCTACTCCCATGAGCGCTTTTAGCAGGGGGCGAAGAGATCGGGGTTGTTAGGCCTTCAGGGCGCAGAGGTCTCACGACAGAAAACTAGTGCTGCGATTTCTGCAATCAGTGGCAATGTGTCCCATTTAGCATGGCATTTTACTATCACTATCCTGGAAAGTCTAGCCATTGAGGAACATCCCTAAAAGCCAAGGAATCAAGGAGTCAAATTGTTGCTACTCTACCCTTACCCTTGTTTTATTCTTGAGGACAGCAGTTAGTTTACAGTTTGGTGCATATGGATCAAAGGCAGGTGAGGCGAGACATTCCAGATTTGATGTCCTCTCAGGGGCAGATGTTTTTTGTTTTTCAAGAAAAGTCATAAGAAAAGACAAGACATGTGCAACGACACGTAAGATGCACGCACGACGGACAAGTGGAATAACATATAGTCACATAATTGCAATATGTAGAACCTTTAGTTGCCCGAGTAGACGTATTGCAGAGGATGTTCACTTTTGCAAGTTGTGCAAAGTCACAGTGCAAGGACTGGTTGGTGTCCGCGAGTTTCAAGACGTACAAGATGTGGTTGGTGCTTTTGGCGCTTGTGAGCTTCAAGAGAATTTGCGTGGGACTTCTGATTCAGTTCCAGCCTATGCTGCGAACGTTGAATCGGCAGAAGCTTGTTCGGTGCAGCACTTTCGTATTGTGGGAGCAGATTAGTTGCCCTTCAGGGCAATAGTCAGTCAGAGAATACTTGGTTGTGAATGAGTGCAAGTCTCGGTTGCATCAGGCATGGGATCGTAGCAACTTCCTTCCTCAAGATTTGCACACATGTCTTTGATGACATGTTTTCTATTCCCTCAGAAGGTACTCTTGGACTACTCTCCACCCTATCATCAAGCATGAGCAAGGAAGTCCGACATCGTTTTGTGACCAGTCTTTCGACAAAGATGCGCCTGCAAAATTGGCACAGTCGTTCCCCTTCAGAGTTTGGTGTCACAGACCCTCCGTAGTGGTCGAAGGAATGGACTTGTTGGACTAGCTTCCCACAATTCAAGTTTACTTGAGATATCAAGGTCGACCGAGAACATGTCCTAGTTCAGGGGGTCTTTGCTGCAGTGTACATAATTGTTCAGCCCGAACCAAGCAGCTGACTGTCAAGGAATTGCACGCAAGAGACGCAAGAGAAACATGCAGGGAGACAAGATCAACGACAGAGACTTCGACATCAGACGATCCTATGATTCTGCTACCAAGATTTGAAATTGTTTGGAAAGTGAATCATTGGAACTGTTGGCAAGTGCTTGTGCTGCTATCCAAGCTGTTGCCGAGGTTCGACCTGGGATCTTTCACTATCTTGCAAGCAAACAAACCAGCCCGCCAGTTTTGTGGAAAGTTCCTTGCCTGACAAGTTTGGGATGCAATCCCGATTTGCTCTTGCACTCCTCAAGATGCTGCAATGTGGGGCTAATGTGGGGGTGTGCTTCCGAGGTGTGCTGGTGCTCCTGTAAAGTTTTCCAAGATGAGTATTTCGGACCTGTCTGCAGACCTGAGCTTTGCGCGCTTGTCCAATCAGATTCAAGATCCTTGATGGCAGGAGTGTAAGGATCTTTGTTTTGGTAGTAGTAAAGCTACATCCTATTGATGTTCTGTTGCCAACCTTAGTTCAGAGCGTGGCATTCCTCGTCGTGCCAAGCAGCCAAGTGAATCTGATGACCGGGCTTATGGTTTACATGGTTGGCCGAGAGGTCTTTCTAGCCTCTTGTTTGCTCCGAAGACATTCCTGCTTGGAAGCGAGGATCGGGTGAATGCAAATCCCGAAGCAGCAGTGCATGAGTTGGACCTTGGTGCCATATTGCTTTTGAACAGGATGCAGGCCAGACCCCTCTGCCAAGAAGCACACTGATTGTTTTGAATTCAAGTCCAGGCTTCGCATTGTTTTGCTGCTACTGGCTTGTACAAGTTTTGCAGGCTAAGGCAAGAATCCGCGCCGAGTATGATCCTTTGCTGGATGCCTTTGTGGGGACTCTATTCATAACTCCAGTACCTCTTCCAGAACTTACCAAGGCAAGGGTGTTTCATTCTGAAAGAGGAAGATCCTCCATTTGGTTTTGCTTTGATTCCCAGAAAGATTTGGCAAACTTGATAACGTCTGATTGCACAGGTTTGCAATTAGATTGGATTGCAGTTCTTTTGCCCCACTAGGCCAACATTGACCGTTTGGGCCATGGGAGTCCTGGCAAGAAGCATCAGCGGCGCCGTCGAAGTTGGAGCAGTAGCAGCAACTTGGCTTAAGCGGCTTAACCGGAACTTTTCATTATCCATTTGACTTAGAACAGTGCCAGTAGTCCAATCCCATTCTTGCTGCACACTATAGGTCCTTGTCATTGCATTAGGATGCATGGGGTCCCTTTCATTTTACAGTACATAATTGGCTGTCAATTGGCTGTCAAGACATGTCACTTGACTAGGTGGAAGCAGCAGTGGCAGCATTTTGAACTTGCATAGAGCTATTGCATTGTAGTAGTTTGTCCGACAAGTACAAACATGTACTTCAGAGCTTTGTTGCAATTCGACCTTGTGCATGGCCAGAGAAAAACATGAGCAGAAAGATGCCTCATCACTGCATGGCTCGGCTCTACTTGCGTCATTTGTTGTGTCATTGGAGGCAGGGCTTGTTTCGCCAGATACTATGCAAGTATTCACTGTCTGTTCTTTCGGCTGCAGTACATCCACTGTCATTATGAATTATATCAGTTCTCCAATAATTAACAGTACATAGTGGCATTAGCTTCTTTGATCTCCCACCGTGAACTTCCCAGGTTGCCGTCTCTCACTCTCTCTCTCTCTCTCTCTACAGTGCATTTGTACAAGGGATTCGAAGGTCCTTGGTAGCTGCTTCAAGTTGGGGCTTGGTAATTCAAGAGGTTGTCGCGCAAGGACTTCAGGCAACCGATGAGCAAACAGGGCTTGATGAAGCTCTTACAGGCACTTTGCATCCTGACAGCGCAGGTAGGGTCACTTAGCTCCTGGTTGATGCTCGAAAAAGAAACACGATCTTCTTCTTTGAGCTAAGTGACTGACATGCATTGAGTGACTGAGTGACTGATGTGAGGGCGATCCTGTGGCCTTGGAGCGGAGACCTCGTTCACAAGAAGCAAATCAGAGAGAATCAGACGAAGCTGAAGCTGTCTCTTGAGGCCAGACTTTAATTTGGTTTCCTTTACGCCTGAGGACCGTCGTTAACTCACGAGTTGTAAATCTTACCGAAGAGAAGAATCCAATTTGCAGCACCTGAGGATGGCAGCACCTTGAGTGGGCGCCAGGCCCTGCGAACAAAGACACCAGTTTAAACTTGTAGCATTCTTTCTAAAGAGAACAGCTGGTTTTGCTTCTAGTGCGCAAGACATGGGAACCAAATGAATAGCGTGAGCTATCCTGCGCCCTAGCTAGTAGCTACCTCTTACTGCTTGTTGGCTACCGCCTCATTCAGCGACCCCAGAAACATCGAAGTGAGGCCTTGACGGCAGTGTTCAATCTTGCGGCCAGCTGCCCAATTCAAGCGCTTGAATGTTTCACGAGTTGAAGATTGTAAAATGAGCATATATCACTCTTCCTGAACTAAACCTTCCACTCTTCAGATATCACGTGAACAAGCCTTTGATAATCTGCCCGCATTCCTGAGGTCATACCGTTGGGAGCAGACCTGGGAGACGGACCGCTTCCGGAGGCAACATTTTGTAATGACTTTGGCTGCTTCCAGGCTAGATCGCTTGATCCTATTGCTTCACAAGAATACAACAAACAACCATGACTTTGCATCTATTTTGCCCAGGACTATGTGCCCTTCATTCTGCAGGAGCACTACTTTGTTCAACCAACTTTAGAGATTTGGTCCAGAAGGTTTTCATTCAGGCCCAGATCTCAATGCTGTTTAGAAGTCAAGATGCCAGGGTGCAGAGGTGCCTGGCCATTTACGGTGGGTCAGTTCAAGTACAGCCCGCAGCCATCTTACTTTGTAGTGCCTTTTTTGATGAGGTGGGAGGTCAGGATATGCCTGTGCAGCCGCATTTGACACTGAGGCTTTGATCCATTTGTGGACTGGCCCAGTGATCTGAAGGACAGCTCCACAGCAAATTGCTAACACATTTTCTGAATGCTATGTGCCGCAGAACTGCTGACCAGAATAAAAACACACTTTGACTCTTGGTTTCGAGCTTGTGTGAGTGTGTGGAGTGTGGCCACTTGTGGCCACTCTTGCACTTTCCACGTGGGCAAAAGACCTGCCCACAGAGGCCTAAGTTGATCACTGGTGGGGAAGCCACATGGGAGCGATCCCAATGCAAGACAGACCTGATGCACTGTACCTCTACCTGAAACAGCCCGACGACTCTATAGGGAAGAGGAGCGTGATTACCGAACATCACAACGCTTCTCGGATTCTGCGCTGATTATCCTGGTACGTGTTGGAGGCGTCCCTCCAAGATATCCTCACTAGAACACTGCCAGCCTAGTTGGTGGAGAAGCAGTTTGGTGTTTCCACCCCTTGCAACTGAAATTTATAGAACATGCAACATGCAAACACATATTTGCTTCGATGATCATGTATATAAGCTAGGCTGAAGTTAGTTTGCGCGAACTAAGAGCAGGGTTCAGGGCTGTGCGGGGGACCTAACCAAGTTACTTTTGTTAGCAAGTCTGTGATGCAGAAGATGCCAGCTTTATCGGAGTTAGCTGGGCAGAAAGTGCTAGCTGCAACAACTGCATAGTCAGCATCATGAAGAGAAACATATATAGTCGAATGATGTGAAAACAATTAAATTCTTATTGTTACTAGTAGTGAGGCACTTGTTCCTAGTAGCTTCTTGTTACTACTAGTAAGGCACTTGTTACTAGTAGCGATGCACTTGTTCCTAGTAGCGTCAAATATATAAGTAGTCTAATGATGTGAAATTCGTATTCTGAAAAAGGTAAACAGTGATCAGCATAGGGTTGTACATCTGGCTGATTCCATCATTACAAGACAGAAACATTGCGCATCTCATTTTGATGTATGCTGAACAGGATGTAACCCTCCAGTTCAATACCAGACTGAAAAGTCCACACCCAAGCCCACTTTTGAACAGCTGCTTTCGAACAGCTATAGTGGTGGTTCACCTTGTGTTGCAAGGTGTGAGCGGAAAGAGCTTGAAAGAATTCCCAAAGATGCCTGTGGCCGAGTCTTTGGATTGTCCTACCAGCACTATTTGTTCCGCTGCCGATCAAAACCAAAGCTCTTGAAGAAACAGCCGTGCTCCCGAAACCAGCCTTGCTCTCAAGATTTAACAGACAAAAATGTGTGACCAATGCCGCTCAGGCGGCACTTCTCCACAGCTCCTTTGACTTTCTGGGCAGCAAGCTTACGCTGGAATTAGATCTGACAACGGGCAAACCTCCAAGCGCAAGCGGAGGGTTTAAGACACTCAGGTGTCCTTTGACATTTGAGCACACCTGACATTTGAGCAACACCCATGAGTCCATTTCAGCAGTTGACCATGCCAGAAAACAGGTGATGGGGTGGTTAATGTAGAGTGAGCAGATTATCGCATTTGCCTTGCAATTTGGGCAGACAGCATCTCCACACATGGTTTTGAGCTTTTTGCCGTCAGTTCTTATGCCCAGAGGAGTTCATGCGCAACGGCAGAAACCGAGGTCCGCGAAGTGAGATCAGAAATATGTGAGAATCTCACAGACAATAGCTGGAGCTCGTCTTTGGAGGCGTTTACAGAAGTGCCGCAGACTCACTTTGCTGCCCTTGCTGCTGAGACTTGCAAGGCCAGAAAGTTCAAGCCCAAACATGCACACGTTTGAGCCTTATGTCTTGTGAAGAGTTCAATCAATGCGCCAAACTTTTGGACCACTTTTGTACTGACTATAGTCGCCACCACCGGGTACTGATAGCCCTACGTGCTGAGTTACTTGCAGAGCTGAAAACATGGTGTTTGCCACTTTCAATGCTGCGATACGATATGTTGCGATGATTTGCCGCTTCAATTTAGTTCCTTTCGCTTTGCATTCCTCATATTTGCCATTCAGGAATGTCCGTTTGACGCAAGAGTACTCATCAGCTTCAACTTTCCAGTGGAAGTGAAAAGGCAGCTTTCCCACGATTGATTTCAGCAAGGTATGCGCACTGTTTATCACATGATGCACACATTGTGCAAGGTTTGTGGCTGAGCCCTCTATGTTTCAGCTAAGAGAAGGCCAGCATTTGCTTGACACATGAGTTTCAAACTGACTAGAAGCTCAACCTTGGTGTTGCAGTCGATTCCTTCTCCCTTTGTATCCGATCTTCGCCGCAGATGGGATGTTTCTTTCTCACACGACGCCAATTGAAGCAATTGCGCCATGCGATGATGAGGTGCTAGGCTTATTATTAGCATGAACGCCAAGATTTCATGCTCATTCATATTGAGGCAAAAGCCTGATCTTTACGTACAAACAGCACCACTCTGTCCAAGCAACAATGAGCAGTTGTAGGTGCCGAAGCCTTTACATTTGGAAATCGAAGAGCCTGCCGTTGTCAACCAGTCTAGATGCCTTCAACTCAGCTTGCACTTCCGAGGAAAATTGAGACTTCACTGCCGCATCACACAAGAAGATAGTTATAGTTTAGCAATCGAATAACATATGTTGAAATGGGACCTTGAATAGGGGCACCAGGAGACTCACGATGTATTTTAAAAGGAATACCCAGCCATTTCGGGCAAGATCGTAAACTCGCTGAGCTCATATGTATAGCAAGCGTGCAGCCCAGGACATCTAAGGGCATCACAGGCCTTGCGTTGGACACACAAAGTCCCTCTAAGAAGTTACCCATATATCGCACTACCGAGGTTACATGTAACTATTTAGTAGGTTAAGGTCGTAGAAAGAGCTATCAATCTGTAAATACAAGTTTCCAAGCAAAAAGGTTTGGGTGTAAGCTCTGGATCAATCTTCCTCCTGCACACACACAAAAAAGACTCGGGAAAAGAGTTCGTACGAAAGCCGCCATACCAAAGACCAATGAAGGAAAGGAAAAACCTGAGTGAAAGACATGTGTCAGATTAACACCGACCTGATGGCACCTAACAAGCCTGTTATGAAAAAACAAAAGAACGGAAAACAATCCAACACAGAAGAACAGAAGAGAAGGAAGACAGTGGTTCATGACACATCATGTCAATTTCATTGCACAAAGAACATTTGCCCCACATAAACCACCATGAAAGCAAACAACAGCGAGAACAACAGCAAACCAGTTAAGCAAGGAGGTCTTTGTTGGCCATCGCTCCTCTGGGACCTCGGTGCCCCCCTGCAATCTGATTAAGTCTAAAAAGACGCTTTTGACTAAAGCTCCAGAAAGGACAAATCCCAAACTACAGGGCTTCTAAGGGGGCTTTTCTTGTAGCTTGAGATTGTGTTGCAGCAGTTTCATGTTCTTTGAAAAAAGATAGGTTGAGCATAGGTTGAGCATTTTAATGGCAATGCCACACATGGTCAAAGTAGATAGTTACCTATATACTATTGCCTGAACGGAGGTAACTTCCAGTGCTCCTTGCATTGGACATGATCTCTAGCTTACTGAGGGCTGAGGGAACAAGTGTCCAGTAGAACTTTGAGGACACGAGAAATCTACCAGCTTGCCGGAGATTCCTCCACCATGACCTCCCACAAAGGTGAATAGTGGCAGACCAGGGCAACACAAGACGATAGTCACATCAAAAAGACGCCCGCCGGTTTCCAAAGGTTTGGAGCTTTGGCTTCCAAAGACTTTGGAGACTCACGGAGCAAGGGCCTGAGAGAGCTCAACCTACGGAAGCATCTGCTTTGTGTTCCAACCAGTCCTTCTGTTCGCTGGACGTCGAGGATTATTCATTGAGTCTGCGGCAAGGTGCAAGGTAAGAACTTTGTTTGACAGGAGAGGACATTGTGATGCAATGATGGTGCTCCTGCATGCACGCTTCGTAGGTACCATCCATTTGCTGGTCCATTTAGTGGGAATGGAGGTATCCTGCCTCATTGATATTTGTCATTGAAGCAACGCCTGGTGCATTTTGAGTTCATGCTGTCCACAACTCTGCCTTGTGCAACTTCAGGTGGTGATTCAGATGACTTGAAGTTAACAGGGCTTCGCCCTTTTCGGTTCTTTTTTCTGCAGCTGGAATCCTAGATAGCTGCGGTATTGTTCTTTGTGTTGATACAGTCCATGCATGTGAATTCTTTAAAGATGTATTGACCGGAAGAGCGTTGATATTCGTTTCAAGCTGAATTGCTCTATCTTGTCATGAAAGTTGAAAGCTTCACAGCCTCCGAGGCGACACTACAGAAGAGCCCGGTCCTGAGAAATGGGCAGTTCTTGTTGTGACTACTGCAGGATTTACTGGTGACTCTAAAGACTCTAAAGTCTTAGGGTTCATTTGGTTCATCACTTTTCTTCAATCCTATCACCTCCTTCGAGCCTCCCTTGCTTTGGTTGACTCCATAGAGCATCGCCCACTCGCGGAAGTTCATGGAGCTGACGCTTGCCAGATTCTGTTATTGGAATCGCTCATTAGTGTGCCGGTGAGCACACTCTTCACCAATTTGTCATTGCCAGCAACTGGCAGCAATCCCTTTGGCAACCTTGAGTGGTCTGGACGATGTCACTTGGACGCCATGAGCGACAGTTGCAGCTCCTCTCTCTTTCTCTTTTTCTTTCTCTTTCTCACTTTCGTTTTGAACATTTTAATCTTCTACAACTCCTCTTGACGGGACTCTGGGTTTCTCCAGTGACGGCCCTCGTCAACTGAGCATATTTCTACTTGCTTTTTGGGTTCAAGATGCTCAGTCCTTGCACTTGTGCATTGGTTGGTTTTGGCTCTCCTCCGCCCCTCCTCCGCCCTCCTCCTCCTCCTCCTCCTCCCAGCCGTTGTTTGGGGCTCCATTCAGTTTCGCATTCTGCTTTTGTCCAGCCAGTTTCACCACATCACTTGAGCTAGTTTGCTAGGCAGGCTCGATCGCCCTGGCTTTACAAGTCGCATGTGGGAACTGGGAGCATGTCTATATCGATGATTTCAGTGGAACATCACATGGCCATGCCTTTGGCAAGTCAATTCTAAAAGTTGGCGATCTGCAGCTCGAGAAGCTGCTCTCCTTGCTGGCCTTTCAGTCCTGCATAAGACAGAGGAGCAACGAGTTGGATAGCAGTTGAAACCTGCGTGGTGGCTGCACCTGCTTGTGGTTCTTGCATTTTTGTTACTTTTGTGAGTTTTGTTGCCTTTGTAAGGGTAAGTAGCAAATCGTTGAGTCCCTTTTAATCTTAATCTTTAACTATCCCACGCGATGGCCCTCCCGGGCCACCCGTGGGGTTGATCCTGCAGCTGGTAGACTTTGCAAATGTATTGGACAGGTTGTGCTAGAGCACTTTCGGAATTGGATTGCTTTAGACCCCACCGGCATTTTCCATGTCACATATGAAGTCTATATAAGGAGCTTTTCAAGATTTACCTTCGACATGGTTTGAAGGCGCGGAATGTTACTGTTTCAATCATTAAGTCTGGTTTTCAAACTCGTCATTTGTTTTGTCTTCCCTTCTGCGTCAATCCTCTATTTTATGCCTTGTGATATTCATAAACTAAAACATGTGTTTGCATGTCGTATTGTATGTGTTTGGACGCTGAAGTGGGGCTTGAAGGCATGTCAGCCTTGTGTTGTCCAGCACAGCTGTGCTTTGTGGGCATGTCAGGCTCCAGAAGAATCCTTGGAGCTCTTGGAACAAGCTTTCAGCATCAGCAACCGTATAGATGGGGAGGCAAGGTGCTTCAGGAATCGGATCGCGCAGTGTGATATTCTTGCGGTGCCTCAATTAGGAAGTTGCTGTCAGGTGCTGCAGCATAAACTTAAGTTGATCAACAATTCCACATTGCAGCTGAAGGCAGGGATAGTGTGAGTCGAAGAAGCACGTCAAGCCGGTCATTGTGGTTGGAGTCGTATAATATATATATATACATATACTAATACATATCCTTCTATGCAAATATGCAATCACATTTGCACATTTTGAAGTGAACAGTGTGGTGGGCACTAGCGGCACCAGGGCCTGAGGGTTTCGTTTTTGCTGCGCAGTTTCACAAATTCACAGGCCGCAGATCAACACAGACCACTAAAATGAAGCATGGCTTTTGAGCAGAATGAGAGCTCGAAGACCACAGATGATCAGAAGGCATCGCAGATCGCCAAACCAAGCTACCTTGAACTAAACATCATATGTGATCACACAGAAACGCAACAAGGCGGAGAAATGATGGTAAACAATATGTACTCAAATCTGCATCCCAGAAGAGCTTCTTCAAATCCCGGTGAGCCACCCACCAATGTGAACAAGGGTAGAACTCTTCCCCACTGGCCAGAAGAGCCGCACAATCCCGAAGACTGAACATGAGAACATGCCTCATCGGACTCTTGCTCCGTGAAGGAGTGTGGGCCGCCGTTTTTTGGCCAAAGTCTGTGAAAAGAGAAAAGGGAGCCGCCTAAGGTGGTTGGTTTGCAGCCAGAAGAGGAGTGGACGCCTTATTCTCATTTTGCTTAGATTTCAGCGTACAGTGCTGGCTTAGTCTGTGACGGACATTATCAGTATCACGTTGTGTGTCATTGTTGCAGGTACACCATTTCTGTATCTCCTCATGGAGACAGTGTTTGGCGCCCGCAATACTTCAACTATATATATATATATAGATCTCTGCATTGGAGTTTGACTTGAGGTCTTTGACGGGATGGGCTTGCCACTGCAGGCAAGGCTCTCTTTTGAATGGACACTGCGGAGATTGTGTTTCTGCGATGGAGTTTGTTTGGAGACTTATCAGTGAGGCCTCGCAAGGGACACTGAAGATGGGGGAGATGCCAGGCCACAAACCAGAGAGTGAAAGACAGACACAGAGACAGAGACAGAGACAGAGACAGAGAGAGAGAGAGAGACAGAGACAGAGGGAGGTTGCCTCGTGTACACTTGTGCTTCTCTTGTGCGTACTCGTGCGGTTTCCCAGGTGTGTTCCTGGCGCCGCAGCCTCCTAATCCAAGCTTGTGGACATCCAGCTGTTCAGATCGTTTTTTGCCACAAGACATCCCTGCGGCTTGGTGAACACAAGCTTTGAATGATGAATTCGAGTGGCGCCCTTCTATAGGGATATCCATGTGTCCTCTAGTTGACAGAAGGCATTCTGACTGGGAGCTTTTGTACCATTAATATTACGAACAAACTGTTTGCATTCCCCTTGGCACCGCTGTGCCATGGCGATTCGAACATGATTTGGGCTTCCTGGGTTGCCCCATAGTAGTATAGCACATCGAGGTTCTTGTCGAGAATGTGGTCAATTGTTGCCATTGATCCAATGGGACAGGCATTGCAACAGCATTCCCTTTTGTAGTCGGGGCCGGCCTTTTCTGCATTGAACAACCTAGCACAGTTTTGGAGATTCAGCTTCAGCGGGTGGCGCGGGGTTCAAGTTATTATTGCCTTTGACGTTTTCAGACAGGCTTGCATATAGACTTAAGCAAAAGCGCTCAATTTGCAAGGTGGTCTTCCCATTTCTCCAGCGGCAACCTCCTCGACAAATGTACAGCAGCTTGGCAAATTACAGTAGTGCATCCTCTTTGCCTCTTTATGATGTTTTTTTTTTGACAAATTTGCATCCAGTTCAAGCTGTTGAACGGGTAGCAAAACTGTACAGCTTCAACTAGATGAGGAAAAGTAGATCCTGGTGCTCAGATGCAGGCCACGTTGAGATCTAAAGACTGTTTGGGACTAAAACTCATTTTCATTTTACGGTTTTCAGTGCATACCTTCTTGCTCAGATCACGAGTCTTTGAAGGCATTTGCCTGCTCCATTTCCTCAACGGACGAACTTGGGTGCCATTCACTCGTTTGCCAACTGTTGTCCAGCAGTGCAAGCCATGCAGGGATAGCACTGAATAGTGCTGATTGAACGGATATCAGAGTGCGATTTCCTAACATTCTTGGTATGGACAGAGTGCACAAGCGCGGACATGCTAGCACGATCTAGCACCTAGCTAACTCGCTAGCTAGGCTGCTTTGGCTTGGTGAATGAGACAATGAGAAGAAATCAGATATTCTCACTTTCTGGAAGCTTTGTATCCAAAGGCTGCATGGATCAAGAGATGCACCAGCTTCGCCAGGGATTTCCTGACCTTTTTCTTCTCTCCAGGGAAGGCACCTGTAGTATTGTGTAGTCGACGCGCTTGACTCAGCTGACTTTCTTTCAGGCTGACACATCGATCCCAGGACCGTGCGCCAAGCGATCCTTCCAGGCCTTTCAAAGAGCAGTGGCGTCCATGCTCCGTTCGTAGCGATGCCCTTTGTTCCTAGTAGCTTCTTGCTCCTAGTAGTAAGGCCAGGAGCCCCTAGTAGCGTCCTGGCTCCTAGTAGCGATGCCCTTTGGCAAAAAAAAGGATTCGGACGAGTTCTGCCATGTCATGCCCCCTTTTGCATGCAGTTTGTGCATTCTGCACAGCCAGTACAATGCAACCATTTCCAGGCTCATCCAGGTGTTATATTGGTTTCTGGCAAGACGGAGATCCAGTTCAATGAGGTTCCGCTTAATTTTCCAGATTCCAGGCCTGGATTAGTTGAGACTGTTCGGCACTTCCATAGTGCCTAACTCTGGGAGCTTGTCGGTTTTAGTTTCTGGGCAAGGCTTCTCTTTCTGGAGCTGACTTGTGTCGGGAATGACTTGGGTGCACGCTGCGCAACTGAGCGTTGCTTGTACGAAAGCTTAACGGAAACCTTCTGTTGGACCCCGGGACTTGAACAGTGACGCATTATGCAGCCAAGGACCAGCAAGTCGAGCTCGCTTTCTCAACGCGGCCTCATTCAGTGCTCTCACTGTTTGGATCCCAGTGTGGTCTTCAATGGTCTTATCCACAAGCATGTTCTACTTAAAGCCCTTATAAAAGTGTACTGGAAGCTTGGCAGGTGTCATCATGTTTTTTGCCTGAGGCATTTGCTGCACCTAGTTCTGCTCCATATGCAGCCCTTGGTGAAGTGCAGAGTCCATAGCAAACCTTTCGCCGTTTCCGTGATATCCTGGTCAACAGTCCCAGCTTAGGCGTCAGTCGACCATCCTTGTGTCAGTGCACAGCTTGCTGGACCAAGAACCCGTGGCTGGCCACCAGGCTGGTAGGAGTCCTTTGTCTGCGCAGGCCTATATAACTGACCCAACTCATGTAATGTTATGAAGCTGTGCTGACTTGTCATGGAACTGGCAGCTTTTTCAGCCAGGTGGAAGTGTGGGAAATTCCAAGCACGCGTTGGATTCATGGGCGAAGCCTGCAACCCCCAGCCAGGAGGTGAGGGTGAGATGCAAATGTCCTTTTTCTCCACCAATCTCAGTGTAATGCCAAGCAGTGCATAGCAATAAATTGCAGGGTGGGAACAGCTTTGACAGATGCGCATGGACGATCTCTTCTGATTCTTCCTGAGGCTTCTTTTTTGTTGGTGCAAGGTTCAAATACAGTTGATCTTTCAAACTTGCCGGCTGCTCACCAAACCTGACAGGAACAGACTGGACAAGAGGCCAGAGATGAAAAGGTCGGACTGACAGCAGAATACTCCAACCCCAAAGCCTCCAAAGGCCATTGCGATTCTATTTGAGTACCAATGTATACCAAAGTACATCGTGGGCGGGGCGCAGTTTTCAAGCTTTCATCCCTCCAGTCTTTAAGCTTTGAGTCGAGCATTGTCACCAATGAAACTTCATTGCTCTTTAGTACACCTTGTTGGGACATGATCCACTTTGCAAGCCAGGGCTACGTTGCAGTCATCGCCAATCCCAAGACTGGAGAAATCTTGCTTGGAGACTTGCACCGAGCTTGGACAATTGAGAGGACAGTATGTGAAGCCGCCATAAGCTTTTACGGCTTTGAATGAGTTTCTTGCCTGTATATTCTAATCTTTTAAAGGGCGGATGCATCTCCGTTTGATGGTACATCCGACAACCTACAAGGATCATCCGTCACCTACATGTACTGCATGTTCCCCATATGAACCAAAAGGATCCAAAAGGAGCTAATGTGCTGGCGTGTTTGTTTCTGATACTTACGTGTGTCCATGCTACCCAACACGCCTCTCACACAATTTTGGAAGGTATAGTGGTCCTTCGCACTGGGTTCCCGACTGTAGCTGCTGTTGCAGGTGTTGTCTATCCATAATTTGTGTATCTAGTTCGGGTGCAATGGTTCAATACCGATGCTTTGTTGGTTGCACGAGTTTCTTTTTGTTTTGTTAGAAGAGGAGTTTGATACATTTGATGTGATTGCAACGAAGTGCTCATGGTGCAAAGCTGATATTGCGGATATGCTGAGTTTTCTATGCGGAGCACTTCTTTCAGGGGTTTGGGAGTTGGTGTAGGAGGGCGTGACCTTCCTTACTTCATGCAACCAGAAATGCTCTCTCTCTCTCTCTCTTTCTCTGTGTGAAACCCTTGGAATCAACAGGTACCTTTTGTTTTTTTCAAAAAGCAGGGGGGATAACCCCATGGATGCAATTGGTTGTCCAACGAAGAGGGCTGCATTCCATGGCTGATATGATCCTGGGACGCTGGGATCACGTACCTGCTTTCCTTTAAACTGTTGCCCAAGCTGTGACTCCGCTCTCCTATAAAGTTCTCATGAGTTTTGCAGACGTGAGCGCTCGTCGTCATCCTGTGGTTTCGCGGTTGCCAACGTTGGACTTTGAGACTTTGGCCTCCTAACTGCCAGCGTTGGCTTTCTGGATGTTCAGGCCACCTTACTTACCCCTTGTCCTGGTTACTAGTAGCGTCCTAGTAGCTAGGAGCGAACAAGTGGAGCTTACTCCCTTACTTCATTAAGTAGGCGCCTACTTAATTAAGTAGGGAGGCAGGGCCACGGGCTAAAAGAGAAGTACAGAGAGTGCGTCCGAGATTGTTAATCGCGATGCCAAGGCTTCGGCTGGGCCCTCCAAGCCCAAGGTTTGTGACAGAAAGTCCTGGGCTCGGCAAAAAAGAGAGCACATGAGCAACATTGGAGAATTACAAAGCAGTAGAGAACATCAGTTCAATCATTCTGCAGGTTGTGGTGGGATATTTTATATATGCTGACTTCAAGAGTGCTGTTTCACGTCGTTTGGAATAAGCCTCAAGCAAGGGTTGCAAGGCGACTCACATGTTCTCCAGGTGCAGGTTCGAGAAACCTTAGTCGAGTTCTGATCAAGCTTTTGTTTTCTACGCCTGTAGATTTCCCAGCCCTCAAGCAATGCTTTGTGTACAAGCTTTTGATGCCTGCCAGCGGCAAAGTTTTGTGGGCTTGTTGACTAGATCGAGCAACATGAAATACATAAAATGAAGGCAAAAACAGAGTAGTTTGCAGGAGATAAGGCCTAGCACATTTTTTGCTCCGGATACCCTGGTCAAGAGTTCTTTTTGTATGCTTGTTATTGTTTTGCCCCCCCTCTCTCTCTCTCTCTCTTTGTCTCTCTCTCTCTCTCTCGCTCGCTCCCCCTGCACCACCTCTCTGTGTATCATTCTTGTTCCATCTCTTATATACATATACATATATATATATACATGGTAGCAGTCACCTCTATGATCTACCTGTCTACTTCGTCAACATTTACAACCGTGTCAACTTCTACGATGTTGACAACAATCTTGAAGATATACAACCTTGACAATTTTGTAATCTATACAACCTGGAAAGTTTCTGAGACTGCATATATATATATACACAGTCTACACTGTATATCAAGCCAACTGGCCCCAAGCTGAGCTCAAGCAGATGACAACCCCAAATCTTTCTGACATTGCAGATACTTTTGATATCTACACATAGTTTTCTTCAAGGCAAGCACTGTGGATACACAGTGAACAGTCCTTTGTGCCCATATCGTTTTTTGTTTGACCATGATGTTTCTTTATGAGCTGATGGGCCTCACAAACAAGTTTTCGTTGGTCGAGCGGGGGGCAGATGCAATGAGAAACTCACGCAGAGTCGACTTGCTGTCCAGTTGTCCGCACCTCTTTAGGCGAAGCACTTGCTGCTTCACTTCGCTTGTATGTCACAACCGACAGGGCAGTGTATGTGGGAACCTTGGTGTTGCAGTTCCTTCATGGCAACAGTGCAGTGACACTGAGGCACCAGGGGACGCCCTTGCCTTGATAGGAGTCGTCGCAGCTGTTGGGTCAAATTGCCCAACCAAAAAACCAGGCTTAAACCATCAAAACGTTTTGAGGTGTTTGTTTGTGCTGTGGGATTTGTCAAGGGCTTGACAACAACCAGGCAGTGTTTGCTCACCTACAGCTGAATCTGCTGACAGTGCCTGTGCCTCGAAATGCTGACTTCGGAGAGAAAAACGCTTGAACAAAGAGAGGGAAAAAGAAGGTAAGGACCCTGACCTCCTTTTTTCTCAAGACTACTGTAGTTGTATTTCATCATTCAATCAGCTTAGCACCACCATGAAGCGCAAGATCGTGTTGATTGGGCTCAAGCTGTACTATATTATATAGTCTTCTTTGGAGAAGAGCCGAGCTGGGTTTCAAATGTTTCTTGCTAGTACATTGCTTCTCCATCAAGATTGCAGGTCTCAGGTGAGCCCAAACACATCCAAGCGCTCACCCCTAGGCCAATGGCTCACAAAATGAGAAGTTGAAAAAGAGCGGACCCGTATCCACCAGCATTTGCACAAGTTGCCTTCAGTCGCCATGACGGCAGCGATGACTCCGGAGGTGACCTGGACACAAGACCGATTGCCCAATCCTTTCCAAAGATCGGGTCTGGTTGTCTTTAGGATTCATTTTGGGAACCCATTTGTTCACAGGGATAGAGTTACGCATTGATATATTGCTTTGTGTGTATTTGGGGGTGCCATCGCTTTGAACATCCGCCTTGGTTTTGTGCATAGATTCAGGAAGGAGATGTTGAGATTGATTGTGGCCGCAGCCGATCATGGTCGTGACATATCGTATTGTTTGAACAAGTTCACTTTTGTATTGTTCGCAAAACTGGTGCTCTCCTTCAGATCCATCAAATTGCTTGATTTTACTTGAAGCCCATGGGGCCTCGTGCGAAGGTCTGGGACCAGCTGAAGCACCTTCGCGAAGATAGAGAAAAACTGAAGGAGGCAACTCTGCTTCAATGTCTTTCCTTTTCCGTGCTTTGAGTTTTTTTGCAGAGTTGCCTCATCAACTTGAGTCAAGTCAGTGCGATTGGAGGCTGCTGAGAGAGCCCTTCAAGATGGTGACGAGGGTGGCTTTGAGTTTCAGAACATGCTGGCCAGTGAAATCACGGAAGCTTGATTGATGAAGTAGATTTGGCGGTGGGAAAGGGGTTGAAGAAGGCTTCAGTTTCCAAACACACACACACACACACACTTGAGATATGGTGTACGGAACTGAATGCGGTGCCACACGCCAGCCTAGGTTAAAAAAACCTGAGTAAAACAAGGTGCAAAAGTTGGAGGCCATAGCTCTTAGGTTAGAGGCCATCGAAGGCAGGTTGAGAGGCCATCGCTAGTAGGTTGGAGACAAGAAACCACAAGACAGCAAAGCGGTCAAAGTGTCAAAGTTGGAGGTCTTCGCTCTTAGGTTGGAGGCCGTCGAAGGCAGGTTGAGGGGCCATCGCTAGTAGGTTGGAGACATGAAGCCACAAGACAGCAAAGCGGTCAAAGTTGGAGGTCTTCGCTCTTAGGTTAGAGGCCGTCGAAGGCAGGTTGGGGGCCATCGCTAGTAGGTGACAAGAAGCACAAGACAAACAAGACATCAAAACAGCAAAACAGCAAAAGTTGGGGGTCCATTCTAGTGGGTGGAGGCCAAAGTTCAAGTTAAAGAACCACTTACAAAGTTTGGAGGCCTACCTGCAACCTATAGGGTAGCCTTAGAGGAAAACAGAAGGAAAGGCACCGACACACAAGTGTGTCGAGTACCATTTCCTCCTGTTTCCCTAAATAGGGGAACAGGTACGGAAGTTTGCGTCCAAACTTCCATCCAGTCGATTTCCATAGCTTCATTGGCGTGACTAGGAAATCGACCGTCACGCCCCCTGTTCCAAACCTTAAGGTTCC